TACAGTTTTCTGGGAGTTTGTTCCAGATAAGTGGAGCATAGGAACTAAATGCTGCTTCTCCATGTTGAGTTCTGGTTCTAGGTATGCAGAGCAGACTGGAGCCAGAAGACCTGAGTGGTCTGGAGGGTTAATTAGATAGAGGCGGAGATGAAGCTACTGAATATTCCACTTGGTTTTATTAAACTACTGCATAAAAAGTAGGCTGTCTGCGTTGTTGCGGTACAGCCTCATTGAATGGGGGAGCTCACGTAATATAGCCCCCGCCTAAATGCACAGCTTTATGGGAAGTGGAGTCCGTATACACTGTACAACCATACACAACATTCCTCCCCTCAACCTTGAACCTCATCCATTTCTTTTAAATCTAAACAGCATTGTTTGCACTTACACTTACAAATCATTGTCCATCCATTTTCAACCATTACAAAAATAAAATCATCTGTATCTGTGCTCGCCTGATCCTCTGTGGTGGCGTGATCACAGGTTCATTCACAATTTCACTTAATTCATCTCCTTCCAGTTCAAGACAGGTACAAACTCTCTTTCATGAGGATCATCCAGTTGTTCTGCCATTACCTCATCATTCTCAGTATTTGAGCATTCACCAGAAAGCTTAGTTGCTATTAGTTTGAAGGAGGGTGATAATTAAGTGCTTCATGTAAACATACTAATGGAAAGTTATGTGAGAAAAATGGAGGCCAGATAACAGTGAACAACTCCTAAATTTCAGGTTGCCTGGAGGTTTGAAGGTCCTAAATTCAATAAAAATGCAAAACATAACAAAATACAGAAATACCAAAATCCAGGAGACGTCAGGGAAAACACTTGTGCAGAGTTTCTCTGCTTATGGAGCAGAGAAACAACAAGGAACCAGCCAAAAGTGACTGAAGAGAAGAAGTATATATGGGAGAAAAAAACAATAGGAGGAGTAATTGGCAGAGGAGTTACAGGAGGGGACTAAAGAAGAGACTGACACAAGAGGGCAGCAGAGGGTAAACAAGAAATACCTTAGAACTCAAAGACATTTAAAAATAACTAGAATAACACAAAATGGAGAAAAAAAAAACGCATGGAGCAACAAAAATAAATATTTCAACATATTATCCATACTCTTCTTTATGGGCTTTTTCAGAAAACTAATTTTCTTTCTGCAATAATTACTGAGTCCTGTTCTGTTCCCTCACAGTCTATCTCACTGAAATGTGACAGTTATAATGACATAATAAAAAAAATGGAGCCTTTCATAAAATAAAATAGCTTTGAATACATACAATTTTAAAGTTGTAGGCTTATTTAATTTTCATCCTAATAATAGTTATGTTTGTTGTCAGTCACTTCATTTTGTTTTTAACAAAGAAACCAAAAATAATTTACTGTTTAAGACAAATATATTTAAAATCAAATTATCTTGGAAAAAAAACAGCAAATGTTTCTCAAAAATCACAATTCCCCTATTAATTTGCAGGACTAAAAACCTTGTTATTGAGAAGAAGCATCAGATTACATTTTCTTTGACCTTATCTGACATCTCCAAACCTCAGTCTGTTGATCCATAATTAAAAATATGTCAGTTTTCTTCCTTTTCGGTCTCCCAACATGTCTTTATGATCATGATCTGTTGTGACAGATCACTGCAGATTAGTGATTGAAGACCTGTAACTTAATTGATCTCTATCATCAATTTTTCTTATCCCACGCAGACAGTGACCTTATTTCTAACAATGTCGGATTCATATTTTATGAGTCAATGCATTCAACAAGGTCTTCACTCTCAGCACAAATATCTTTGCGCTGCTGGCCCCTTGGGGGGACCTCTTGATCCCTCTTCATTTATTCATGCTTTTCTCACCTCTCAGAGTATGAATTGTATCGTTTCTCCAACTCTCTCATAGCTGAACATAAAAGTGTTGTTTCTGAGATACAATCTCTTTTTTATACCTCAACTTTTAGCCCAAAATATATTTAAACTGTTGAGGAACTTTCAACATAATAATTGTAACAGTTAGTTGCATAAAACCTTTTGACTTTTTTCTATGCAATGAAATTTTTCTTTTATCCGCATTGATGGTTTCTTTCCTTTTGCTCCTTAATTCCAGGCAGGAGTTTGGTTCCAGACAGACATCATCTTGTGTCCCTGGGTAGCCTCTTGGACGACCAACACTGGCACCATGTTGCAGTGGAGCATCACAGCAGCCACCTCAATTTCACTGTTGACAAAAACACAAAGTGGTTAGAGAGGCCGCCATGGTTCACACACTGGAAGTTTGACCAGGTGAACTTTTGAAATGTTGGTTTAGGAGGTATGCATCCATTATTGAAAAACAATATCCCTCCAATGCAGCTCATAATTTTATGCTCTCTTGTTTTTCTTTTATAGATAAGTGTTGGGTCAAACCACAATCTTGACTTTCAAAATTCGGACAGTAATTTCCAGGGCTGTCTTGAAAATCTTTTTTACGACGGCCTTAATGTGATTGACCTGGCAAAGCAGAGGGACCAACGGGTTACTTTGATGGTAAAAAGACTTCCAGAGTGCTTGTGTCATGGTTTGAGCTATTTTTAAGTCTACTAATTTTTTTTTCTTGTTTTATGTAAACTTTATTCATTATGTTTTTTTTTTTTCACTTTTGAAATTTATAATTTTTGGTTTTTACTATGTCTTATTTGTTAGTTTTTTTATGCTCCTGTTTTAAGTTTTTTTAAATGTGTTCTAGGTCCTTTTTTTTGGCATTTTCCTTAAATGTGTCTTAATTCTTTCCTGCCAAGTTTCATTTTTTAGATCTTTCTCATATTTCTGATGTAGTTGTTATCAGAGGTGGGTGGTAACTATAGTTACATTTACTTAAATAACATTAAAAAAATTACTTTTAGCAGACGTGTGATATTCTTCATAATTATCACCCCTTCTACTGTGATAAAAGCCGTTTGGAATCAGGTCTTTCACGCCTGGTTTAAATTAACTTTCTTATGTTAATTCATACAGAAATGCGTCACCCTGTAAACTCGCCTCAACCAGTTTGTACCATTAAGCCAGGCATACACTGTACGATTTTTTGCTGTTTTTGGGCCAATTCTCCTGTCGTGCGAGAATTTTTGGATCTGGCTGACTTTTAGCTTGATCAGATATCGTAAGGACGGTAGAAAATTAAACATGTTTGATTCTGTTCATGCGCAAACAAGGACTCTTCTTCTTCTTCTTCCTCTTAGACAGAACAAAGAAGCGTAGCAGGGGTGCGAGTGAAATTGAGTTTTCCCTGTAAAATTGACAGACTGTAGTAACCACGTTTGCTCAGCCATGTCTTTGTCCAAATACGTAGCTTTTTCTTTTTAGGGCTTTCAGCACACAAAATCGAGAGTAGCGCCATCTCACTGTGGAGCTGAGTCCGGTGTGGTTTTTATAGGTACAGTGTGAGCAGATAGATCGCATCAGAGCGTCGGGCTGCACAGTGTGAGAACATGCATTTTGAGCTGTGAAACCGCAGGGTTTTGTCGCACAGTGCGAGCTGTAGCTGTGCGCAACGATTGAAAAAAAAAATCATACAGTGTATGCTCAGCTTTACTCCCACAGCCACAAGAATTCCTGTGCATTTATTTGTAATTTAATATAACTACATGCATATATTGACGCACAACATATATTGTTCAATCTTCTTTTTTTATCTCTTTCTCTTTGGAGAACTGTGTTTATTCCCCTAATTTAGCTGTGTTTGCTTAAAACAGCAGCAGTACGTTTGTTTATGCTTCTGATTTTCAAGCTTCCAAATGTTGAGCTTAGCTAATGTCTAAAATAAGAACAAAAGTATATATGCAGCTACAGACCATCTCCTCAAAGCCGAAACTTTCCTTATGTTTTTATATTATATCTGTCAGACAGCAGAAACGCTTTGTTACCGCAGTGAAGTTGGTGTTATGTTGAGAATGCAAGCTCCTCTGAATTAGCAAGGCTTGAATATCTAATATTCAGAAGATTCAGAAATTAAAATCCCAAAAATGTAATTTTAAAGTAACTGAAATGAAATTCATCTATCTTCATAAACGGCCTGTATATCTCTGTTTTTTTTCCACTTCCAACTCAGGGAAACGTGACGTTTTCTTGTTCTGAGCCCGTTTTGGTTGCTGTGACCTTCACTAGCCCCCAGAGTTTCCTTTGGTTACCTGGGGCCACAGATCTACATTCAAAAGGGACCTTGGTGAGCTTTCAGTTTCGGACGTGGAGCCATGAGGGGCTTCTGTTGACTTTTGATTTGCCAAAGCGAGAAGGGACCGTATGGCTGCACCTAAGGGAAGCCAAGGTGTATCTTCAGATCAACAAGGGTGGCAGGGCACCTTTAGAACTTAAAGCAGGTTAGTTTCATCCCCTTGAGATCAATCTCATCCCAATGTTTACAGTTTACAAAACTACATAACATCTGCTTTCTTTGCTTCAGTGGCCAAATGGTGCAAATGCTGTGTGAAAGCATCAATTCACAGCAAATTCAAGAAATCCTGCAAACACAAATATGAAACTAGCAAACTCACAAAACAAGTGCGAAGGGCAAATGCTGCAAAGGAGACATACTGTTATCAGAAACATTGTAGCAAAGTCAAAACATGCTACAAGCACAAAATATACTGCAAGCACTTAAACAATGCAACAAAGCCACTAAAAAAGACATGCATAGTAAAAATGCATGGAAAATTAGCAAAACCATTGCAAGTTGAGATAAGCTAAAACTAGTTTTGCATTAAGGAAGTACTCCGGACCACTAGGGGGAGAGGAACATCAACTCAAAATGGACATGAGCCTTAGGAAATGCACAAACATATGATGCTCAGAGAGAATTTGATCCTGATCTTAACAGATTCCCAATAAGTTGTGCTAAATTGCAGCTGAAAATGTTTTTGTACATGCATTTAGAGGATGTGTGGCAGATGATCTACATAGATTGGCGGCACAAATAATAAGACTCATAAAACTGTTTAGTCCCATCCATATTAAGCGTCCAGGAAAAAAAGAAGGTTTTAAACCATGAAGGTGGAAGTAGTAATGAGAATAATCATTTGAATAATAATGTTGAAAAAACTAAACTTTATTTACAGTGTTCTTCACATAAGTAGCCCAGTATCTCCAAGAGCTGCAGAAAAGTATAAAAATATAATTATGAAAATAACAAAAGTTGGAAATAGGACATTTTCCTTCCTCTAGACGGTAACCCATTTATGATTTTGCATCAGTTTTGATCCTTAGACAATTATTTGCAGTAATTTTTGTTTTCTGGTTTGTGTTTGTAACCTTGCAGTATTATGGTTCAAAGCTGGACGCATAGCTGTGATGAAGGCAAAAGCTGACGAGCACAAATCTGAACCAAAATACTCATGGTAGCGCAGTACTGCTTCAACATCTGTGTTTTAGAATGCACAACTTTGTCCTTTAAAGAACAACAACAAGAGCATTTTGGTTTGCTAGAATTTCATTTGTTACCATTTTTGGCTAAAACCCAATTTTGGGAGACTAGCACTTGGTGAGGCTACAACCCATGAGCACGAAAGGTTCTGCTGAATCTTTCCGCTTTCCCTGAACAGATTTGTTCAGAGGAGTCCAAGATTAATATTGAGTAGAACTAAAGCTGCTCACTCCACTTTATCAATCCGGCCTGTCAGGTTTTTGTGTTAGCCACATTTATGTTTTTGCAGCAGGTTTTTTACATGCTATGTATCTTCACTTTCCTGCTCTCTACTTTCTTTGACTGCAGCATTAATGTTTTTCCTTGCATGTGTCTGGTGTGTTAGTACTGGTAGACCAGGTTCCTTATTTAGTGAGTGTTCAAATATTACAAAAAAGGGGAAACAAATCTTTTAGTTAGGACAGAATTCATTGCAATTAAGTGTTAAAAAATATTGAAAATAAGAATACAATAAAGAGTTTTTACCCAGTGCTGGACTACTACAAGATCTGATGAAGTAGTAATCCAAAAGACCCCCCCCCCGGTGTTGCCAGGATGTTGTCTGAATTTATTAGACTTATCCAAACCTCTGCAGACACACCAACTACAATCTTTCAACATAGGTTAATGACAGGATTTTTTATTTATTCAGGTTGTCTAACTGAGACAACCTAAACAATGGGCATGTTTATTCAAATGCTCTTTGTGCATCGAACATCAGTGTCATTATCTTGGCGCTGATAGTTGTTACTCATTTCATTCTCCTACCTAGCTCAGCACTGTTTGTTAATATCACTTATCATTTCCAACTGTTCAAGCTTCTACACGATTTAAACTGCTTGCTCCCAGTTATGGGTGCTGCCAGATTATTCTTGAGCCTTCGGTGAGAGAATTAGTCTAGCATACTGGTATTCTGATTACCTTGATTACTTGATCTTGACCTGCTCTGCATTTTGACCTCAGAGCCTGCCTGTTCCTGTTCTGTTTGCCTGACCTGTCATCACATTCTTGCTGGATTCTACTTGTCGACTGTACCTATAATAATAATTGATCTTACATTGGAGAAATTTATTTCTGCATTTAACTCATCCCCTTAGGGACCAGTGAACTGCCATTGTGGGGCGCCCGGGGAGCAGTGTGGGGTTAAGGGTTTTCCTCAGAGACCCAGAGTGGCAGTCTGTGGGCGTGGAGTTCGAACTCAGAACTTCAGAATTTCAAGCTCTATGCCCTGACCACTAGGCCGCCACTCCCCTACCTGGATCTGCTTCCTGACTACGCCTGGCTCTGATCTCCTGTCAGTTCTGTAATCATCTAGGCTTTTACATCTGGAAGTCTCTGTGCGGCAACCGCTGCATCTTATCAGGAGACTGGCTGGTATAAACCTCGTTCTCTTGACACAGACTGTACCCTAAACCAGGTTATTGACTCACGTGTTCCTATAGAATTATCCTTCGTCAGGTTATCATCAGTGTTGGGCACGTTACTTTGAAAAAGTAATTAGTTATAGTTACTTCTCCCAAAAAGTAACTGAGTAAGTAACTGAGTTATTCCACAATAAAAGTAACTAGTTACTAGTAAAAGTAACTATTGCGTTACTTTTGCGTTTTTCGCCCCCGTAACCCTCACCA